ATAATTTAGCCAAAATTTACTCCAAAAATGGAGTAAATAAAGGAGTAAAATTTACTCCAAAAAAGGAGTCGTTCTGTACCTTTTTTATTTACTTCACTTTTGGAGTCAATTTGACTCCTCGAAATTAACAGTGCGTGATATTTGCCGATAAAGCGGTATTAAATCTCTACAGAAAAAATAGAACAAATTACAGAAATACAAAACAAGTCAGAAGCGGAAGTGGGAAGGTTTTTGTATTTTGAATGTATAAACGGTTTCTTAATTTGCATTAAAATTGTTTTGTTTACGATTGTAAGTTTAGGCGGGAAATTTCCCGTGTAGAAACACGTTTCTCGACCAATCAACGCACGCGTACTATAAATGTCCTATTTTATCATAATTTATGCATTTGGAACGGCTCATGTAAAGCACGGCAGTATAAATCAACATGTGCTTCAGCCGTGTAGCACGCCTGAACCAGGCGAACTTATTAATTTAGCCGTGCTTAATATTAAGTGCAGTGCTTAATTGATTTAGACGCCGTGCTTCTCATGTGCTTAATTCATTGCATTAAGTTCGGCTCATGAAAAGCACGGCGTCTAAACCGGGCCTTACTTGCACTTCCGGTATTTTAGAAATTATGACGTCATGGTACGTTAGTTCGAAATGATCTAACGCCGACCGTCTAAAAGATGGATACACATTAATACTTGTTTTTCGAGCAATATATATTTGTTTGCATGAAAAGCAAGCAATATAATGCCTATTTGAACTTGACACATCCTAAAATATACTGTACGCATGAAACGCATGAATTTTGCTTGTTGTTACATCTAAAATATACAGTTTTCTTCTATCAGAAGCGATTAATGTCATGTTACTAGGGCATAAACGTCAAGATACATGCACTGGAATTTAATGCAATAATGTAAATGTCGCGGTCAGGTGTTGCTATATATAGGTATTAATTTTGTATTAGATGCCGTTATTTGCTCTCTAGTTTATGAGCATCAAACATGCTTTTCCCCGAGCTTCGGGCGTAAGCCCGGGGCGAGGGTACTAATTCCGCCCGGTTATTTACACCCGGGAAAAGGAACGCACTAGCGTCTAAAGTTCATCAAATATCGCGACGCATGGTGTATGGGTGGTCATATCACTGATCTCAAAATATGGCTGTTTGCCAGGAGTGAAGGAGGCAAAAATATTAAAAAGACATGTAAGAAAGCTTGAAAAATCGTTTCACATAACAGATTGTAAAACTTTTCTTCAATTTTTAAACGTAAACATTAAAAATTGATTTAGTATGAGAAATCCTAAATTATAAGGCAAGTTTGTTTCAATTGTATATGTATGACTTTGTATTAATACAGACTTTGTTTTTGTTGTTCAAGTCTTTCCTATATACGCATTGTATGCGAAAGTTTCTTATAGTTAAACTAACTTCTGTAGAAGTTGATAATAAATAGAAAGCAAATTATTTTCATTAGTATCCTGTATGAATTAAATTTATTTCATTTCAAAGTGCAAGTAATAAGTTGAAAGCTCGAGTAGCTATGTTCTATAGCAAAAACTAATTAGTTCAAATAGCCCAGAGAACGTTTACCCGTTAGAGTGAATAGCCGTTTTCTGAGCAAACCGTGTTATCACGTATTCACGTTTGACCAATTTGGCTACGTTTATTGTTGGATATGTTTTTACAATGATTCATTATACAAAGCTTTCAATTAGTGTATCGGCAAAAAGCAGTTAATTTCAATTCACATCTAGAAACGTTTTACGAAGAGTTTCGTGTTGAATTTTACATTAAAATAAAGCCCATATAGAAAGCAAAATAATACGCCTGTATACTTATTTCCATATTTTAAAAATTGGTAGTTCTGTATTTAAAATAGTTCAAGTCTCATTTATTTTTTGCAGTTTTGTTCCAAAAATTAAAAAAACAGTTATCGTGTTGCCATGTCTAACATGACGTGTGGCAACGCGAGTCTGCGTTCAGTGTTGGCGTCATTACGAATACTTCATGTTGAAACAATGTTTGGAAAATATAGGAGAGGGGTTGTTGCATGCATGTACTTCTAGTAAAACTTATAATTTAACCCGAATTTTTTTATATGACGGTTAACCAATTAAGTATAATCTTTATCTTAATTAGTTTGATAAAAGAACGGTAAACGGGCCATTACAGCGGTTAACGGTGACTCCAATTTAAAACAATGACTAGAGCTATCACATACTATAAAATGTTGCTGTTATTCCCGTTTACCGTTGCTACCACATAAAATCTTTTCGTGAATCGTTTGAAATGTTTTTATATATTATTATAAAACGTTTATGCTTCAAAAGTCATGGCAATATAGCTACTCGCATTTCTTTATTTCCCAATTTGAACATTGTACTGCGACCCTTTGTTCCTCGTGGAGGATCGTGGAGGGTGTTTGGAAAACACCGCTTTCCGTTTTACAATTATAACGTGATAGACCCTCCTGGAAAAGTTTTGCCTCGTGCCCAGCGGAACCTCTCGGCGACCCTGATTTTGACAACGCATAATATGCGCGGTATGTATAAATTAAATGTAATGTTTAAATATTAAAGCTCGAAACTTACACTTTGGTTACTAAGCCGCCTTTATTACGCACATACTTTGCTGGAATATAACCTCTCCTCCTATAAATTAAAGTAAAAGGTATACTATTTCAAACTTTTTATTGAAGGTTGCGCTTTGAAGCAATTGTTCTAAAAGCATTACAATTATTATGATTGTTTTGAAACCTGATATCAAATCATGTTCGTGTGACCGGTTACGCCAGGGTCCTCGAACTCGTAAAGATCACCACCAACCCACATGAATATATCTTTCATGAATGGTTGACTGAAACAGTGGAACACATTGAAACTAAAATTTTCTGAAGAATGAGTCAAAATGCTGAGCACTTATATTTAATTAAGCAAACCAATCACAAAACATGTTCATTTCTGCTTGTTTTCGCAGTGCATAATATACTAAAGTAATTTTATTTTATAACTGATGACTTAAATTATAATTTCCCTGTGAACAGGACGTTTAAAATACAACTATATAAGGTTCAGTTATTATAAATAATAGTAAGTACATGTATATTAATTCGTAAAATGCACGCAGAACAAGAAGTTAAGCCTTACACCTATCTCGCGATGATAAGAGAAAGCAATTTCAATTCTTACCCATTTTTGTCCCTTGCAAGAAACCAATCTCCGCCCTCATCTGGAAGAATTGTAAGTTCGTCTCCCTGGTAGACAAAGAAAATAAAAAGCAGGCCCTAAATAACGTTAAAAAATTATTCGAAAAAAGGTTACAACTAAACTATAATTTCAACGGAAATTTTCAAATTTGGTCAAATGTTTTTTACTTAAATTACTGAAAACGCATAGTGAATCCGGATATTCAAAATTAAATGTGCTGGCAGATACATAGTCTTGAACAGGTATAGGAATAATGCTCATACCAAATCCAATTTTGCCCTAATCTCCAAACGAGCGAGGTTAACGTTTGGTGAAGCAGCCATAGCAACGATGTTAACCAGCCCGTCGCCAGACATTTTAAAAATAGAAATCACAGTGTTTCAGATGTGAAAATTTATTTGAGCCCTCTGTCACATTTTTTCTATGTTTAGGGAGTGGTCATTATTTATGGGGAGGGGGAGGGGGGTTGGAAAATGGGGAAATAAGGATTGAAAACTTTTTTGACCCCCTCCAGACTGAAGGCAAACTTTTTGTGCCCCCTCCCCTCATAAAAGTAGAAACTTTTCTGCCCGCTCTCCCCAGTTGCGCCGCCAGTCGTCTTCCGACTTCCCCAATAGTTCTCGTTCGCAAAAAAGACGGTCAGTTACGTTTCTGAATTGACTATAAAAAATTAAATCGAATTACGAAAGAGAACTGCCACCGACGTGCTCGGATTAATTACACGCTAAATGCGCTCAAAAACATTGAATATTTACAACTCTGCACTGCCGTAATGGCTACTGACAAATACCAATGCGCTGGAAGACAGACAAAAAACAGAGTTTATAAATCAAAATGGCCTGTACGAATTTTTACGCATGCCTCAAAGTCTTTCGACGGCACCTCAGACCTTCCAACACGCGTTTGATACAATTATTTATTGACTTAATTTTGAAATTTAATTTGCTTTAGTTATCTTGGCGACGTAATAATTTACTCCGCAAATTTTGAACAAAATTACAGGCGTCTTCACACAGTTATTTCAACATAATTTAGGCGTAAAGTCAAGCTAATGAAACTTTAGGCTATATTACTTCTTGAAGTAGTATTCAGCCGGACCCTCAAAAAATCCAAATTGTCCGAAATATACCAACTCCGACCTCAGTTAAGGATGAAAGGGCTTTCCTTGCTTTATCCGGCTATTATAGACGGTTTATTGCAGGGGGATTGTCTACCGGGAAGGGCTCCTCTAACCGATAGTAGTAAAAAGAATGCGCATTTAATTTTGGTTTGATAAATAGAATCCTAGCTCATTCACTAAAATTAATGAAATATTATCTGAAACTCCGGCGCTCTGTTATCCACGTTTTGATGCCCATTCATATTAAAAACTGACGCACCAGACGCAGCTTTAGGTGTCGTTTAGACTTATGATTCACATCACCTGGAGAGGACACATTTTCAACCACGGAAAAGGAGACTTACGCCATTGTATTTGGAGTTTTACTTTTCCGCGCGTACCTCTTAAGCATATGCATTACTTATCACGACAGCAAAAGCGAGTTGACATAGGAAAAAGTCGCTTCGTGCGAACAATTTCGTCTAGTAGGAAACGGACTTTAGGTAGAAAATTCGAAATTGTTATCGATCCAGCGAGTGTTGGCTTTATTTAATGGAAACATCCGGTAGGTTAGTGCGATAGATGCGCATGGATTGCCAAGAATTTCAGTTTGACATCACACATAAAAAAGGAAATACAACATTCTATATAATGCCGACTCGCGTTCTCGTTTTTTACCACATTGCAATCAACACGATCTAATTGACAACCATCTTGGTGTATAACATTAACAAGAAATTGTTTTAACTTGCTCGATTTCAAATGCTATTTCAAGAGACTCAACCATTAATTTGTGTGATGTCCAAGGCAAGATTCAGCTATTTCTAGTGTGATTGGGTACACAGAGAAAAACATGTCCCAGCCAGCATTTTCTGATTGAAAGTCAAATCCTGATGTAAATGTCAAAATCCCCTTTAGTATGTTATCGCTTTCGTGACGGTCTATTGACGCGCCCGCGTAAAGCAAAACAAGGTTCGCAACCCACTTATACTGTTGTCGTTCACATGAATGCTTTAATTGTAGGTTTTCTACAGGCCATTCATGATAACCTAATGACCTGACAATCAGGTGTTCAATTCAAAATTGAGCGAATTCGACTACGATATTTTTTGCACAAAGTGTCCTCCTCTTTCGAAAACTGTGTAGGAAAGAGTGAGATTTGCTACTTGCGCAAATTGAACTGGTAGAACCTTTTACATTTTGGTGATGGACCATTTCACAAAATGGCTTGAAACATTCCCCGTTACGAATAAACCTGTTGTGCAGCACTCAGATTAGGGAAAGCACCATGATCATGCAGTCCAAATAAAAAATTCAATTTATCAATACAATATACAAATTCAATAATCCCCAAGTCAACGGCGCCAAGCGTCGTTCCGGACATAAGTCCAGGGCGAGGGTATTTATACTCAGTGAAAAGAAAGCATTACCAAAAAAATATATTTCGTAAATCGTTTCAAACAAGCAATTTTTATTTGCAGAAATGACAAGAAATGAGTCTAGGTGGGAAATCGTGGAATATAGGGCAAAAGAAAAAAAACTATTTAAAGGTAAGCAAATTAATTTCAAGACCGAACCGAAATAACCAGGGCCGTTTTGAGAAGTCGTCAGTGCGGGGGGTGGGGGGGGGGGGGCTAAAGAAAGGGACCATATTATACTGAGTATGGCGAAGTTACAGGTGGTTGTTGGTGAAAAAAAATCGTATGTCATAGTAGGGAAACTAGGAGTAATTTCCTCCAGAAAAGTTTTGTTTTTTCCACTCCCTGACTGGATTTCGTGCGTCTTCTGAAACAGATTTTTGGATATACAGCTTTCCATTATATTGTGTAGGTAGACTGAAGCTTTATTTAAGTACATATAAGTTATTTTCCGGCTGCGAGGTCCGGATGAAAAAAACTGTGCCCGAGGTCTTGAAAACGGCCGAGCCCTTCGGGCCCTTCAAGACCTCGGGCACAGTTTTTCTCATCCGGACCGACGCTGTCGGTAAATAACGTGTTTATTTTTTAGCAGACGTAAAATTTAATTCATTAAAATTCCAGTGTTGCATGCTAATTAATTTGAGATTAGTGCGGTTGTGTATTAAAGCGAGGCTGACAAAAATTGAAAAGTTGAAACTTGAAAGTTAAATACGAAAACTCGAGAAAACTGACAAGAAACACACAAAAAGACATAGTAGTTTCACAAAAAATGTACATGCTTTTCTTATGAACATGGTGGCAGAACTGCAGAGGAATGAAAAGTTTAGGCCTGGCGTTTTGGCTTTGACAAATATAGTTGCTTCCGACAACGACATGTTCATGTTGAGTCGCTTTGCCGATCAAAAACACGTGTAAATACAGAGGCGCCGGAATATCGATAATTGGGGGGGGGGCAGATATTCATATATTCGTGTTCTGCCCAATTAATTTCTTTTGAAATCGATTGTTTTTACAGTCTGTGAACACGAATATATGAATATCTGCCCCCGCTATTATCGATTCTCCGGCGCCTCTGTGTAAATAAAGGAATCTGTTTTGAAGGTATGCTATTTTAAATTCTGTAACTTTCTGGTCGTTTCACGATATTATGCTTGAAAAATGTGTTTTTAAACACAGACTTTGTTTACAATGTATCAGTGAAAAAGCATGACACAAATCCGTAGAAAATATATTCGTGACTTATTTCATAATTGAGTCGGTTTCTTTGAAGTTCCGCGGGCTGTATTTAACATAAATATCGGTCATTAGACCAACCATCTAAAGCCTAGTTTCCATTTGGTCGTTAGTTGTCGCTGGCACGACAAGTGGCTGATGTAATAGAGTGTCAACAAAACTTTATAAAACTCTGCAATCATTAAGACTGATTTGCATATCACACACACAAAGATTATTATTATATTAGACTATTTCACATCTACCGCTTGTCGTGCCAGCGACAACTAACAACCAAATGGAAACTAGGCTTAAAAGCACGGGGAGGGTTTTGATATTCAGCAGGGAAGAGCGGGGCTGATGAATTGAATAGATAATTATGAATAAGTGGGCTGTATTCAGATACAGCCCGGAAATATTGGCTGTTCTAGTATTGTACCTTGATACAGGCCATGAATTGATAATCCATCCATTGACCTTACACTACAACCACTTCTATTAACATTTCTAATACTATTTCACACAAACGTATTGAAAATATATTTCAAACTTCAAGTTGTTAAATACAACACACATTTCCACTACAATATATCCATTTATTTCTTCTGTCTACATTTTAAAATCCTTGTTAATAAAAAAGTGCAATTATTGAAATTCACACACTTTTCAACCATCTCACTCTTCACTGCGCTTTCACCTTCGCTCTTGTTAACTTCGCTTCCTAATTCCTCTTCAGCTTTTTCACCGCGAACTTCCTGACACTCGCTATTAGTTGCACTGGTTGTCGCCAAAGAAGTGTGTATAATACCAACTTGATCAAACGCTTTTGCCATTTCTACTTTATACTCTATGCTCTATGCTAGGTCTCTGAGTAGCTGTAACGACATTATGTCTCTATGACCTGTTTTTTCCATAAATAACTTATCTGGAATTCCCTTTACGAGACCACGAGTTGCCATTGTTGCTCTAAGACTGTGATTTGTAAAGTTGCCTTCTATTCCAGCATCCCTTCCAAGTGTGTTGTAGCCAACAGGATTTGAAGTGAACCAAACTAAAACACGGAAAATTCAGCTGAAGCTAAAAATGGAAATTAACTACAATAAATGATAAAACTAACTAAATAACATGTTTGTACCTTTATCTGAATCAGAATACTTTCGGCGAGGACTCAAATAAAATACGTCTTTTGCTATGGCTTCTGAGCTGCATTTCCCAACAAATTTCTTGTACAATCGAACCAAACATCGACTGGGGGGACACTCTTCATTTATATAATGTTCCACACGCTTTCGCTTCATATTGCGATGCTCTGATCCTCCTAAATTGTTTTTCTCCCCGAAAGAAACGTAAACCAATTTCTCAGGTTCCGTGCTACATGCCGGCTCCAGTGTCAACTGACTGAATTTTAGAAGACGGTGCTCTCTACCACTTCGAAGTGCAAAGTCTTTTCCTATTAGAAACATCATTGTGTTTTATAACACACTTGCTGTATGATCCCCTAGGAGCTTAGAAGTCCAGAGTTTATCCTCATCAGCTTCAGAAAAGACTTGAGCTTGTTTAACGTTTGCACCAACACCCTGCCCTGTTAGGCGCTTCATTTCTGCATCAATCGAGTCCTGAAAATTTTTAAAATTAGAGTCTTCGAAGAAATATAAAGCTGGACGACCATTATTTCTTAGATATCGTAGCAAAGCACAACACAACTGATACAGCGTATTAGGAGGATAGTATTCCCCTTTGGTTGCTTTCTTCCGAACTTCGACAACAAATTTCGCTAACAATGCCTAAGTTCTACATCACTGACTTTACAAATATCCAACTCGACTTTCTCGTTGGCTGGGCTTTACTATTCCTTTCGTCCGGCCACTCTTTCTACACACGAACTGCCCATGCTGTATTATGCTTCGTGTTTAACGGGATTCGGGTTTCCTTCATTTTCTGCAACTCTTCGTCGCTAATAAGGGATATATTTCTTGTATTTGTTGACTCGGCATGACTAGTATTTGCACTTGTAGACTCGCTGTTACCAAAATCAAGATTTTCAGTCTCTAAAATACTTGAAATTATACTTAATTCGTCAACCAAAATAACAGGATCCGCTACAAATGTATGTTGCATGGTTAATCCTGACAAGTAAAAAGTTTTCCTCGTCACTATCCATTTTGTGAAGTGCGAATGCAAACAATTCGTCAAAGTGAGGCCAGAAAATTTTACAAAAACATGTAGAAGTCGAACAAAATAAGAATAAATTAACTAGCGTATAACTTAAAGCTCCTTTGGGATCTTCATCTCTTTTTGTACCTATCTGTTTGCTAATTTAGCTCAACAATAAGTCCGCCAACCTCAATTAGTATTTTCGTTCACAAATTACACAGAACAACAACAATTTCTATAGAAATTATATCTTAAATTATTCTTTTGAGAAAACCTCCTCAATCACGAAATAAGTCAGTTAAAGCCATCGAACCTCGGCTGTTAGCCAAATACAGCCTTCGAGCTTCGCCCTCAGATTGTATCTGGCTAACAGCCTCGGTACTCGGGCTCTAACTCTCACTTTTTTCATTTTTCACTGCAGTTAAACTTTTTTTTAACTAATATTGCATGTTTGAGAGGAAAACATTTCTTTTAAAATATATATCTGTTTAAGCTGTGATTTTTTCGCTTTTACGTGGCCGAAAAGATATCATTTAATAAACAAAATATAGCTTTCTCGGCATATTAAAGTTTTACTTATGTCAAATAACTTTCTGACTTCCAGTCGCATTTCCGTCTGGAAATATTGTCAACAAGACGCCCGCTAGGCGTTAACCTCGGGTCGGTGCATAGCGCATTGTCTGGTAAATATGCAAAAATCGTGTAAATCACGATAGTTTAATAGTTCACTAGTATAAATGGTGAATCAGTCAAAAAGCTCCGTTTTAACATTTTATTGATAATAGTTAAATACAGGAACAATTTAGAGAATTTACTGACGCAATTATTTAACTGTATTTATTCATTATTTGGGATATTTTGTGGACGAGTGAATGATACACATTGCTACTTCACTACTTCATCTTGTATTTAGTAACACTAACAGACAATATTACCAGTCTATTTGTTGATTTTTAAAATATATCAAAGTACCGAAAATATAATTAGGTGCATATAACTGATCCATCATTAGTAATAGTTGTACCACAGTCGAAGAATGTAATGAGTGGACAGTTGGCAAAATTGTTGTCCACCAGTTACAGTAAGAAACATCCATAAAATGCTTAGCAGGATCAAACAAGTGAAAGTTGGCCGCGATATTCCCATGCTATGCATATGAAGTAATGTACATTCTATCAACATATACTCGAGAATAGTTATCCAGCTAAACATGTATGTCAAAATTGTCACATCTTCTGGTTTTAAATCAACAATTTTGACGGATTTTGTGCAAGGACAGCTTCGGGTTCCGTTTCGCTTTCGCCGATGCTTGAAATTTCCTGGAAGTACACTTATTTACCGGAAGTTGTCGTCTCTTCCGAAGGCTCTTCGACTACGCGCGCGGCTCGACACAAAATGGAAAAAAAAATAGGAGCCGAATTTATGACCTCGCTGTCGTACCGACCCGAGGTAATTATTTTGTACGTCGAGGTTTGTATGGAGTCTTAATTTAGGGCTTCACGCTATTCGTTTTTGTATTCTGACTATCCTTAGGCTACGTTTCTCAGACCTCTTGGGCAGATTTTTTACTTTAAAAATTGTTTCACTCCTCGGTTTTTGGCGCAAAAATCAGAGCGGGCAGGATGCATTTCATAGCGGATAGTTGCGTTTCAGAGCGGGCCGGATGAAAAAAACCGTCCCGTTCTAAAAGGCTCCTTAGCCAATCAGATTGCTTCATTTTCACCGATATTATTGCATGGTATGTTTATGTAAGTACTACAACTCGGTCACTACCTGTTCAGCCTAGCCTTCCAACAACTCAAATCTAAACGGTCTGGGATATACTATTCACTGTAATTTCTCAAAATGTAAGGTATTCACAATATTCAGCATGTTTAAAAAGATATTGAATCATTTTATGGTAAAAGACATGCCATAACAGGGCCGTAAGAAGCTCTTTTCGATTGGGGCTGAAAGCGAGGGCCGAAGAGCCGAGGAAATTTTTAAATTTAAAGTCTCTGAAATGCCATTTCCTGGACTTTGGGGAAGATTTGACAGAATTCTGATGGACAGAAAACGGCGTTTTAGCTAGCATGTCGCAATTTACAACTTAGTAGTATTAAATGGGCGAAGGCGTATTTATTTAACTATATATATTGGATAAGTTGCAGAAAATTATGGGTAGTATCTTCATTCTTTGCAATTTGTCATGGATTAAATGATAAAGATTGATTATTAGCAAATTATTGGGGGGGGGGAGGGGTGTACAGCCCCCAAGCCCCCAACCCCCCGGTTGGTACGGCCCTGCATAAGATTCACAATTAAAGCAAATTTCGGGTATTAGGGCATCAAATCAAGGCGGTAAATTGTTACTGTTTTGCTTATACATTATCAAGAAAAGGTAGTTTGACAGAGGGGGGCAAATAGGGCTCATAAGGGGAAATAAATGCCCCCCCCCCACACTTCCCAGCATATTTGTCAAAAAGGCCATATAGAAATGCAAAAAAAAAAATGTTTACCGGGAAAATAAATTTAGTTGAATATAGATTTCAAAAATTAAAGGCAGCGTTTCAAGTACAGTTTAACTTTGAATCAAAGCAAACAAAATGCAAAATAACCTAGCTTCAGTATATATTTCGGAAATTAATTGTTGTATGGTTAAAAGTACTAATCTTTGAACTATTTTGCTGGTTTATACAAGAAATATTAGCACACACCTTTTCAAAACTGAGATCGTCACTGTCTTGTCCTCCAAAAGTACACAAAGCCACAACCTTTGGTCTCTAGAAATACACAGACGATTAATATTTATTGTCCAAAGAACTTTTTTCCAAAAAATTCAAACTAAAATTTTTTTGACGAAATTATCTGACGTTCCTTTTCTAAAGTGTCCAACTTGCACACATCAGGATAAAAATACAAATTGTAAATAGTTAATACAGTAGGATTATGATTATTCCTGAGCTAACGGTGCGGAGCCCTTCTGGGCGTAATCCCAGGGCGAGGGTATACTAATTCCACTCGGCTATTTACACATGGGAAAAAGAAAGTATTAGCGAAGTCTGAAGATCATCAATAACCGCGGGCGCGCGGCTATGTTTCATCGGTGGACCTACTACTTATCTCAAAAGTGTTTGAAATCGTTTTTTTATATCTCATATATACATCACCCTTTCTCTACTAGGTCTAACCAAAAAAGTGTCTCACAAAAATTAAAACAACAATATGTAAATCCGTGTCCTCGTTCAGCCAAGTGGGTCTGATCGTGTGACCTAACATATTTGCATATCGGAAGTAATAAACAGGAAGTTCATATCGTAACATCTCCCCTTCTTTAAATAACTGTAGTGTCAATCACTATTATGAAAATATTAAATAGCTAACTTAAAATGTTCTACGTAACTAATAAAGTGTTGTGTCAAGTTTGGTTCAATCTTCAGTCATAATCTTTATATCTAGCCGGTGCTTTGATTGTCCTCGAACTTCTCCTTTGGTTTCCACTACATTCTGATGTGGCCGTTATTGATCTTGAACTTCTTCTCTGCGACCCGTTAGGTTCGGGCTCTACTGATACCCCAACCTCGTTCCCAGGCTCTTACCATCGCACGCCCGAAGCTGCGAAAAGACCCTGGTGCCGGCTGGTCACGTGGCTCCCAGGATATTAAATTACCAAGGGAAGGATGGACAAATCTAAATTGCAATGCTTCCACTTTGCAATAGTAAAATTCGTTGGCAAGGAGCGGACGTATTGGTTTGAATTGCAAAAAGTGTAATTTGAG